ACTCGCAATTGGTTGGTGCTAGAAGGAAGAAATAATTTAGATAAATTAGCTCCAGAATCATTTCTTAGGATACGGTATGCTAGTATTAGGTCACCCCTAAGTCGTCTGTATGACAGTGGAAATAAACCTAGTCGACTTAACCTCTCCTCATATGAGAGGGTTGCGAAACCCTTTATTAGCTTAGTTCCTACTTTTTGCACCCTTTCTAATAAGTCTATTTCGTATTCGAAACACGGGCTCGCTGCCTGGATCCCATATTCCAAATGAGGTCTGATATAAGTCGGATATAATATACGAAATATATCAGCGTCAAAGTTCGCAAAAGCCTTGCGTATGGCCCATAATATTCGAAAACCCTTAGTGGCTGCAGCTCTACAGTTTGTTGCTGTTTTCAAATCATGCTGCACAACCACTCCCAAGTCCTTGTACTCAGTGACCATTGGGAGAGTAATGCCATTCACTGAGCAATTGTGCACGTGACTATCAGATATATGCATAACTACACTCTTGCTTAAGTTAATCTCCAAGGCCCAATGCTTACACCAATCACTTAACAAGTTTAAATCTTCCTGGCGTTCATCCTAATACAAGAACTGTTTTAATTTGGAGTTCAGAGAGTTCACTCTTGATGGTTCTTACGGTGTTTGATTCCCCAAATATTCTTTAATTTACAAATTAACTTTGCAGAACTCAAATGTTTTATTTTTACATTTGTTAGCACAGATGGATATACATTATGACTCATTGTTTGCGTGACCTTTAACCAGAGATTTGACCCTAACATAGGCTAAGGGTCAGGCCAGCGAATTTTAAGTGATACGTGCTAGCTAGTCAAAAAAAAGGTTTATATTTTAAACTAGTAATTTATTAGTTATGTAACATAATTATATAATTAGTTGGAATTTCTAGTCATGCTGAGTTTCTCATGGAGCAATAAATCTTTGCCTTCTGAGACAATCTTCTGTGTCTTCCTCACTGTGAAAATCGTATTCCAGTGGTCAGTCGTCTACCGTTGTATTTTAACGTAACAGTAGGAATGAATCCAAATTCCAATATCATCCTTGGTTATAACATCTTTCTTCTTTTTTCTGTGAGCCACTGTACCAGACTCCATTTTCATAATGTCTTTTCTTGTATTCTTGGTACGACGGTAAAGTTGTCTGACTCAAAGATATCTAGATTGTACTTGATAAGCTGAACTATGCATATGGAGAAAACTCTTGGCTGGAAAAATATTAACTGATGTCAGAATAATTATATTTTATTATTATTCCACTGAGTTCCGAGTGGAACACGGGGCTTCAACAGTACACCTCTGTTTCCCTCATTTCTCTGCAGTCCTTTTTATGCGCCTCCACGATTGTGCATGGACTTCCATTCCCTACTCACACGATCTCCTCTATGTCACCTTCAGATGCTCAAACCGTTGTTTCCCATTCGTGTTCTGCTTGAGCGTCTGGCGCGCGATGTCCTTCAACGGTCTCCATCTCGATTTTCTTCGGCATATTTATTGAGCAATAGGTGTTTGGTTGGTTCGTCACAAGAGTTCCTTGTCGTTAATCCTTTCCGGCTATTTGGTCCCCAATATGGAGCGGAGGCACCTATTGATAGAAGTCTGCAGTCTGTTTGAAGTGTTTTCAGTGGTGTTCCAAGTCTCTAAACCATATGTAGTAACTGACCTGACATCAGCTTTGAAAATCCCAATCTTGTTCTTTATGCTTAGCGCATTAGATTTCCAGACTGATTTCAGAGTAATAAAGGTCTGTCTTGCCTTTCCGATCCTGGCTGGCTTTGACATCCTCATCTATGCCGCCTGTAGTGGAAATGATATTGCAAATGAAGAGGTGACTTCCTCTAAATTTGCCGTGTTCATAGGGATTGGTGTTTGTTGTTGTTATTGGTTAGTCATCTTCATCACCCCTGTCTTTTCTATGTTCATTTCAAGTCGTATCTTCACTGCTTCTTCTACCACCTTGTTGGTTTTCACCTGTAGATCTTCGAGTCTGTATAACATAAAGTTACGTAAGGCATATTTAGTTTGATCCTTAAACATCAAGCACTTCTTCAGTATTAGTTGAATCTAGATTTCTTATCTTTTTTTCATTACAAAATAAGTTTGACGTACTTAAAGTGAGCATCTCATTGATTAATACCTGGGGTTCTAGTGGGAAGTCGTGACCAGTAGGGTGCAGCAGGTCGGGTGTGAGGACAAATACTCGCAGAAGATATTGGCTAGCGGTTGCGCTATATCATGAATTGGCAGAAGTTAGAATTCATGCGCCATTGGATCGGATCCCAGTGGCTTAATGGTCTACGAGCTCGCCTTGTAACCAGAAGGCCCTGGGTTCGAACCCGAGTGGTGCGTGCTGATGAGGAGTCCGAAACTAGGACGAAACAGCTGTCCAGTACTCCCAGGTTTTCCAATGGTTCTCTAACCAATGTCAGCTCATGATGAAATCCTGTAACCAATCAACCAAATCCCTGCAAACCATTACTTACAAAATAAGTTTGTCTGGAGCACTATGAGTAACTAAGTGATGTTGACCATCTTTTTCATCTTACTTCAAGTCTCTTCAGTAGTTCAATACAACCTTCACCAGCTGCATAATGCTTACGAATTGCAGTTATTTGATTGGAACTTTATAGGCTATACCTTTCAATTTGGCATGTTCATTATTGAATATTTGTCTTGTTGGACATTGATCTTTGATTATTTCATTGACATTGTGGCAATCAGCTTTGCATAAAGTTAGGTGTGTACACTTATCAGGACTTTTCGTGTAAAGCCAATCACATTTATCTCTGGTATTCATCGACCTCATTAGGTGATATCACTTTCTGATGACTGCATCTACCTTTAACGTATTTCAGACAATTAGTTCAATAGAACTATTACATGTATAAACAGCTTATTTTGTTTCTTTGGAATATATTTCTAAGATCTTTCATTTATCTCCTTACTTTAGAATAAAGGTTTTGTAATGCTTCATCCAAATGATGTCTTTGTCAGGCAACCAGATGTTCTATTCCCCGAACGTACATCCAAACGATGGAATAATAACAAGAAAGTGTCAAACACAAAGCCTGCACAAGTATCAAGACAAGAAGATTTAGAAGAAGGCGATGATCTTGATGACGGTGAAGAAGAAAATACTCCTGAAACTTTACCATCTGGTTTCGCGTATGATCACCAGTTACTTGTATATTTGTAAGTTGACAAATCATATATTTTAGGGTGTATTGGGAAAACAATTTATTATTATTATCGTATCCTTTAATTCCTAGAGGAACATAGGGCTTCAGCCGTGCGTCTCCATTGCGTTCGGTTCTCTGCTAGTGTCTTCACCTGCCTCCAAGTCTGCCCACACGTTTTCATCTCCTCTTCACATGACCTCCTCCAAGTCACCCTTGCACTGACGACCAACTCGCCGCTTCCCTTTCGGGTTCCACTCGAGCAATGGCTTGTCTAGTGATGTCACTTGATGGTTTCCCCAGAGTGTGGCCAATCCATCTCCATTTCTTCCTGCCTATTTGTTTCACAATTGGTTCCTGGTTGGTTCGCTCATTGCCAGAGATCTCTGTTGCTGATCTTTTCTGGCTAGCCATCTGATCTTGAGTATTGAGCGAAGACAACTGTTAATGAAGGTGTGTAGTTTGTTTGAGATGCTCTTTATGACACGCAGTGCAAGTCTCTGATCCGTATAGTAGAACTTGTTTATCACAAAATGGGGAACGTAAATATTATTGTTTGACAGATTGTATTTTCATTTTATTTGTTTTATTTATATCTTATCCTACCTGCACCGCTTATCAACATCTTCCTTCTCACAGAGTTATTAATGTTTTTTTGTTTGCCCCATAAAAAAAATTTACCGTATTGTTTTACTGTTTGTGACTACTTAATAGATATGAAAAGTAGTATAATTTTGTCTTGGTCATTTTTGTATCTATTTCTATAAGGCGTTCACATAAGGCATTGTAGTAAAAATAGCAACGTCACTTCAAGAATTTCAAGTTCTTTTCATTTTCACTTATTAGCACGTGAGATATGATGGATTTGTAGGATTTTCAGCATCTCTGAACGAAGAATTCAGAAATGAAAATATAACACAATTACTCTAGACACATTTATCTTTAGAAGTGGGATTGCCTACGTGACGTAGTAATTAACTTGAACATTGAAATCAGATAATATCAAAGTGGCAGTGTGTTTAAACCAATGGGCTACATAAATTTCTATCCAAAATAATGAATCTACTTTTCTCTCCGTTTCTTGTTGTTCTAATCTTCCAATTAATTTGTACTTGGATGAGAACATGATCTCATACAAAGTTTTCTAATTGACTTCCAACCCTCCCGTTGTGCACTATTCAAGAAGAAAATGAAGAAATAATGTTGTAGACAATTGAGTCTTTCTTCCTTCGGAGTAAATGACAGTACATCATAGGATATTACTGTCGACGAATATTTACTTTTCTATAGTTTGGTTTGTAAGGGTTAGTTATGTTTTTACGAGTTGATCACGGATTGATATCAGTTAGAGAACCATTGAAAACCAGGGAGTACTGGAAAGCTGCTGTTTCATTCTGGTTTGGGAATCATCGGCAGTACGCACCCACTGGGATTTGAACCCAGGACCTTCCGGTTACAAGGCAAGCTCGTATATCATTCAGCCACTTAGACCCGACTCAATGGCTCATGAATTCTAACTTCTACCGATTCGTGATTTAGCGCGACCCCAACCTAGTTCTAGTGAGAAGTCGTAATGAGTGAGGTTCAGTTAGATGTCACGTGTGTGGATGGATGTCCCACCAACGACAATGGTTGGGGTCGCGCTAAATCACGAATCGGTAGAAGTTAGAATTCATGAGCCATTGAGTCGGGTCTAAGTGGCTGAATGATATACGAGCTTGCCTTGTAACCGGAAGGTCCTGGGTTCAAATCCCAGTGGGTGCGTACTGCCGATGATTCCCAAACCAGAATGAAACAGCAGCTGTCCAGTACTCCCTGGTTTTCAATGGTTCTTTAACTGATATCAATCCGTGATCAACTCGTAAAAAGAATATTTACTTGAAGATTCTATACAGGGAGTAAATATTTTTCACAAGAAATTACTCTGAGAATTCTTTACTGTGCTTAAACATAAGTTACAGAATAAAGCCAGCATTATTTATTAGTAGTATATGCTAGTGAGTAACTGACATGGTATAATTCTGATTTCATTTCATTTTAGTAAACACTTTTCTCTATCCAACGCAGTATATAGTTTGAATATGTGAATATGAAATGAACGTTCAGTGCATATTTTTATTTAAAATCAATATATTAAACAATTTAGTTTGACTATTGAAAATTGATTATTTCTTTAATGTATAATTAGGCATAAGTTGTAATGTTTAAATAATTCAACTGTTTAATGAACTAATTTAGTTGTGTACAACTACGGTTTTTATTTTCATCATGAGAAAATAAACTCAGTGTTTAAATTACTTCCTTCTAGTCAGCTAATATATTTATGATTCATATGAATGACCTAAAACGACTCATTTCACCATATATATATATATATATATATATATAGTTGTCACTACAACATAGGTCAAAAGGTCATGATTAGTATATATTTGCATTGATTTAAATCTTTCTTTGTTGAAACTGCTTTTAGTTTATACAATGATAGTGATTAGTAATCAACTCTCTCTGTACGCTAGAATTTTTGCTAGCGTTAAATAATCAAAATTTCAAACGTACATTAGGATTCGTTCTTATATAGATTTTTCTTATATACTGGTCTATTGTTAATAGTTTGAAGATAGCACTTTCTAGAAGTTATTCGTCGAACGTACGTTAGTAGAAGAATACTCGCCAACTAATCATGTGGTCCCAGTTTGATTCCTGCGTGACAAACTCCTAAAGGTTACTTAGCAGGTAGAAAGTGTTGATTGGGCGTGAGGCTAGCGATTTCATCCTATAAAAAAAAGCAACGCTATTGCTACTAGAACTTTAAAGCTCAACCGTGAAACCCTCTGTCCCACTTGGAAGGTAAAGGAATGAAAAAAGGGGCTTACTTGAACTAAGTTGGTAATCACCAAGATTATCTCTATTGTAGCACGTGGAGTAGTAACCAGCTAGATTAATTTATCATCAACAGATAGTACTATGAGATAATTTCTTTTTTTGGATGAGTGCATTGTTTTGAAATAGTAAGCTAGGCAGCTTACTATACAAAATCATTTGTTAACTTTTCTAAAACAGTTTTAAAGTATAACTAATAGGCTTTTGTGTTGGTTGCACAGGGGTATCATGCTCGCCAACCACGCATGTGGTCCGAGGTTCGATCCCCGGCCGACGCACTCCTTCACCTCGCTAAGCCGGTAATGAGATTGGTGAAGAGGGGAGGTTGGTCATGAGGCTAGCAACCTTATCCCATAAAAGTAAACACCACTGCTACCGAAACTTTAAAAGCTCTAGCTTAAAGCCTAATGTTCTGCTGGGAACCTAAAGGAATAAAAAGGTTTTTGTAGCCGTTTTGTAAGTGACTGTTGATCAAAACTCATTTATCAGATATGCAATTTCCTTACTAAGTTTAAAGGATACTACTATGCCCTCTGGTGCTTCCTTTGTTTTTTTTTTCTTTTTTTGACTGAAGTGGTTTAATCATAAAGTGTTTGATACTAATAACTCAATGACACGATCTACCAGAATTTAGTCAAGGTTGCATCTACACTTTTCTCATGTTTGACAGCAATTTGGAATGTTGGATAAAGTATCATTTTCTTCTGACTGACCCTTTATATGAAGTACAATGTTAAAATATCTTCTCTATTCTCATGTATTCGTTTTTGGTGTGTGTGTGTGTGTGTGACTGAGAGTTGGTAAGTTCCTCTTCCGTCCCTCATACTCTTTTGCTTCATTGTACAGAATGATATATAACTTCTTGATTAGGTCATAGCTAGACAGATGGCCTGCCTAAATCTTTGGGCTACTTTATATCCCACAGTGCACAATGCGTTAAATTTACTCAGCTATACTTTATTTTAATTACCTGCTTACGTCCTTGAAGGACACAGTCTTTACTCAAGTGCATTTCTAAATGGCTTTCAACATATTGTTTGCACTGTTTTGAAAGCATAATATACGTCAGGCGTCGGAGCATGTTTCGGACAGAACCGAATTCGGTCGAATGATACACTCTAGACTACTGTTTATTTGAAGATTCTGTATCAAGAGAAGATAAAACTAAGCAGGAAATTTTATCCTGTATTTTCACTTTTTCAAAATGAAGCTATTATTATTATTAACATAATATTTATTTACAGTTACCAGCCGTGTATAAAGCCATCTTTACAGATATAGCATAAATCCATTCTACTCTCTGAGTTAAACTCTCGAAATGAATAGTAAAATCTACTTAATTGAGTTTCTCTCATATGTGTAGTGCTGGACAACATCGTTGTGATTAAGTATCTGCAGTGCATTGACTACTCGCTTTGATAGCTTTGTGAACACCAAAACGACTATGTAAGAGAATAAACCTATTTGAGTAGTTTACTCAAACAGCTCTTTCAATTCAGTCTGTATATATTAGCATTACATAACCTTTCTGTATGTGAGTATAATATCTGTTTAAATGTTTTCATATTGACAACCACCCACGTCTGTGTGTTAATCACATAATATCTGACCGTAATTACATTATACAATCGATAGACGTATAGAACACCACAAATCTACCTGTTGGGCTGATGCTAACATGTACTGCAATATAGACTGAATGTAGCTGAAAAAAATTGATCTGTTTCAAAGAAAAAGACATATATTATTGGTATGTTGTTAATATACTATATGCTGTATAAACAAATAAACATCGAACTCTACATAATTTCATTCTCTCTTTTTTTTTCATTTCTACGGCATATTAATTCGATGTCCTGACAGCCATTCACATTTTGAAAGACACACGTAAACTTATATCGGTGTGTCTAGCCACTATCATCAATGTAAATTAACTACGCTTTATTGTACGTGTTGTACATGTGTTTTCTTCTTTGTTTGTTTGTATGTGTGTATAAGTGTGTGTCCATGAATAACGATAAACTTAGAGAAAGTCTTTAGCAGGTTTTCGTCAACTGACTGGTTTTCAGACTGTATTTCAAACGACTTCTGAAAGAAAAAAATCAATTTTAGTCAGGCCGTGTATAGCCCCGG